ACATTCTCTCCCCTAGCCCTGCTTTTTTATTTTTTTGAGACAGTCTTACTGTATAGCCCAGGCTGGCTTTGAACTTGCCATTTCTCCTGCCTCAGTTTTCCAGATGTTAAGACCATAGATATGAACTACCAGGGTAGGCTGTTGCTTTTGGGAACAGGACTCCTTTAAGGAACTCTGAAACTGGGAATAGACGCGGGGCTCACCATGACTCTATGGACACCCCCAAACTGGGCAGGACCCTTAAATCCATACCTGCAAGAGGAAGTAGGTAACAAATTGGGGGGTGTGGGCTGGGTTTGCATACTGGGGGACAGGAGAACTCTTATTGCCCAGACCCAGCATCTGTGCTGTCCCACTTGGACATGGTATGTGTTAACAGTCAGCCATATTTGCTACTCAGCACAGGCCCCCTCAGTATCCCTGGATTCTACATCTCTGAAAACAGACGGCTTTGGAGAGTAAGGCCAGAGGCATAAAGCTTGCAAGCATGAGGATCCAAGCTGCTCCTATGTACCTCAGTATTCACACAGAAAGCTCCTCCCACCATGTACCCTTCGTTCCTTGAAGCCTTCCTTCATCTCTTTGAACTCCTCACCCTGGTCCCTGCCTCAGGACCTCTGTTTCCGGTGTGCCCTCCTGCCAGGGTCGCCCCTCCCTGCCTTTCACATGACTGGCACCTCTGTCTTCCCCATGTAACATCCTCCTCACCCTGAGCTACTTCCCCCCCAAATCTCTGGCCTATTTCCTCCCTGGCATGAGTCACCGGGAGAGATGACAGCAAATGTCTATTTGTCTATTCTTCACGTCTCCGATGTGACTGGGGAGAGGAGAGCTTCCTCGCCGAGTCCCCAGCTCTGAGAGCAGAAATCAGGGGCAAGACTATGCTTGCTCAAAACTTCACTGCATAGAAGGCGTCGAGAAGCCCACTGGGGACAGGTCAATTTGGGGGAGGCAGACATGTTTGAGTTCTTCCGTAACTCATTCAGGGTGAAGGGCTGAGTGTCCAAGTGACGAGACAGAAAGGGGACAAGGCAGGAGGCGTGCCCAGGGAAGGACAGATTGGGGAAGACATGAGTGTCTGATGAGGGGAGAAATGGAAGTCGCTCTGGGTTGTTGGCATGGAAGTTTGTGGAAGAGACCTCTCAGCTGTTTACAATGTGTGTCCACTCAGGCAGCCTGGAGCCAGCCTTGCTGAGGGTCTCTGTGTGTGTGTGTGCGTGTGTCTGTGTGTATACACATGCACACACGAGCACACACATGTATGTGAAGGTCAAAGGCCAATTTGTTGAAACAGGGTCTCTCCCTGTTGTTGAATTCTCCAATTAAGCAGGACTGGGTGATCAGCAAACTGCACAGGATTAGCTCCGTCTCCCTAGGACTTGTGGGTGCCTGAGATCTGAACGCAGGTCCTCGTGTTACAGAGCCATCGCTCCAGCTCACTCCTGGCCACTTTTACGACGAACCAATGCTACTTAGCTATGCAGACACAGGCTGACCAGCTCGCCCTGTTACAGGAAGAACAGACCTGGGATCCCGACTCTTCCATGGTGACGGATGGGGTGTTGGGAAGCTCACAGGATCCATCAGACAGACTTCCATTACTTGTGCAAGCCCTCCTTCTCATCTTGAAGGATGACAGGTCTTGGTCATCTTGATCTACATTAATGACTCTGAGCCAGAGGAACTGCAGGGTCTCAGTTTCCCTTCCTTTCAAACTTAGATGAAAATATTCTGATAGCTTCAAACACCCAGAGGCTAGTAGCCAAACACCCCACAGGCAAGTGGGTCATCTATGAGGCATCAGAGCACAGCCCTGGGCTCGAGTCTGGTCTGGGTGCTCGCTAGCTGTGTGGCCTGGGATAAAGGACAGACAGTCTTCCATCCTTGCTTTTGATATCATAGAAATGGGGCACTTTAAGAAACAAGAGAGATTGACTTGATGTTAGCACGGGGTCTGCCTCCCTGGGAGTGGCCAGCAGAGATGGACACGAAACAAAAAAGTTCTCCAACTCAGGTTTGTCACAGAGCCAGGGGGTGGACAGGTGGGTCTGAAGGCTGCCCTTCCCCAACAAGCTGCTTCTTTTGGTCCTTTCCCTCCAGACACCTATTGAGAGGCCTGTCAGTTACAAGCAGGGCTGTGTGACCCTTGTTAAGTGGCTTTACCTCTCTGAGCCTCGGTTGGTTCATTTACAGAAGTTGGCTGAAGCCACGTGCCCTACTTCTATGGCAGAATCTACATGACCTCCGAAGAGAGGGACTCACAGAGAGCCTTGCAAAAGGGTATAAGGGGGGCGGGTTGGTTATCTGATCAGGGCCAGGATGGCCGGCTGTTCCAGATGGATGCTGGATCGGGGACCTTGGCCTCCTTAGAACCATGCCTCAGGGTAGCAAGCTGAGCAACCTGGATATCCTCTGATACTTTATTTAAAGTGACCGCTCTCAAATGCAGGAGGTACTAAGACTCTGGGGTTACCACCTCCCTTTCAGCACTTCTTGGGGCCACCTGGCTTCTGGGGTGAGGAGATGGGACTGTCTCTTAGAGAGACATGTTTTATTTGGTTCCAGAAACCCCTAGTGATGGAAGAGGGAACTTAGTCTACTCATAACAGGAATGAAGAACCACAGAGCTGAGACAGGCAGCATCCTGAACTAGCAAGTGACTGCTGCTCCCCGTGGCCTTAGGAACCACTTGCTAGTTGAGTGTACCCTGGATGTGGGATCTGGGCAGGTTCCCTCACTGTCTCCCAAGTGGCTTAGGGTGGCGACCATTCATCTAGCCTCCATGTCACCGGTTTCAACCCTCATTCTCAAGCAGTATCTGGTCAGGGAGGTCACTGGGGATGCCAGATAGTCCCCAGTGCTGTGTGCACTGCGGTGATGGTCTCAGGGACGCCAGTGTGAGATGGACCCCAAGGACAATGTGACTTTGGACTTTGAGTTCCTAATTCAGGACACCGACTTTGGGGTTCGATTTCAGCCCTCAGGAGGCTGCATGGCAGTGGGTGGGGACACCTTGGGCTGTAGCTCTCTGAATTCAGAGGTGCTCCTTGCATTGTGGAGGTGGTACCATCTGGAGACAGAAGGACCTGCCATGCCAAGGACAAGACCCACCTAAGGACAAAGGGTCTCAATAACCACACGGCAGGCAGGAGCTTTTGGACCCTGTCTTATGCATACCGACAACTTTCATCTTGTAGGTGTGAGCCGACACAACTGGGCACGTCGAACGAAGCCAGACTGGTCTGTCGTCCCGTTGGGAATCGCTCATTTCGGAAAATTGTGTCACAAACGATGACACCACCCATGGTACTTGAGACACCAAGCGGACACAGCTATGTCTGTTTATATCTATCTGACGCTCCTGTGTGTGAAGTTCAGGGTCCAGGCATACACCTCTGACCTGCTGGCTGAGGTCCCTCATGTGCACCGATACTGCTGATGGCTGGCTCTCTCCTTAGGAGGCTGGCACTGTCCCTTATACTGTAAGTAGGACTGTAACGTCTGAAATAAGGGAAATATCTAAGAAAATCAAGTAGGGTCAGGCCGTATCAACCATACGCTAGCTTCAGGCTAGGACAGTGGACAAGGTGCCACATGAGAATGAGCCACCAAGCTAAGGGAGTAGGTGTCCTTAAGAAATGTACCTGTCCCTTAGAACCCATTCCTGTGGGTGGCTTCCCAGGGCTCTAAGCCTTCCAGGGTGGCTTTCCCTTAAACCTCAGCTTACCTATGACTTTTGTCTAAGCCATTGCTGAATTCACATGCAAGGTGGATCTGGGTAGCCAGGGGGGAGGACTGTAACGGGAGAGAGTTTGTTCAGAGCCATTCTCAAGTCAGAAAAATGGGTGTGCGGCAATGTCCCATGTCACCCTGCCCGTGCCTCCTTGAAGAGAGGCAGGTGATAGTTTCTATGGAATGGAGTGTATGCTTCTTTTACTGTCCCCCTTGCCCCATAACTGCACTAGTACCCCCTCTTCTGGACGGCCGCCATGCTTATCCCTAGACCACTAATGCCACGCCAAGAACCTTATATTCTGTGTGACAACTTTGTATTCTTCTGTGTCACGGGAGAGACAGGGTCATGTTAGCCACCTGGTGGGGAGGACCCAGCACCCACTGTGGGTCTTCTAGGGGGTGAACCCACATCATATAGGGCTCAGGAGTACAAGTGTGCTTGAAAGAAAACCCAAGGGGTTCTTGCACCCACAGACTCAGACCCAGTTACAAATCGCAGTCAGAGGCATGAAACATTGAACTGGCTGATGCTGGCAGAGTGGGGTGGGCTTTAGGGTTTGACGGCAGAAGAGGCAGGGGGAATTCCCTAATTGCTGGGCACACAATGCTCGCCCAGGGCCAGCTGCTCTCCTCTCCCTCAGAAGGAGCTGGCATCGCCCACAGTTTGGTCAGATCCCTTCCACCAGTGATCCCAAAAGCAGGAGTTTGGGGCAACAGGAGGGGACATTCCTAGTACTTTAGAATCTACCCCCCAAGGCACAACACTGAAGACTGTGGTTTATGGGTGTTGCAACTAATTCTGGGTTCCTTTCCCCTCTTTGGAAGTCTCCCTTGTCCTCTACTGACCACAGAATGTGAAACAGGGGTCAGAGTTCAGCTCTTCCCTGCTCACAGTATGAGCTACGTGCCTAGAGAGCTCTGTGCACATGCCTTAAGTCCCTCTAAGGCTACCTCCATCTCCCCGGACCCTGGTCATGACACATCTTTCCCACCTTACGGGACTCTGGGAATACATACATGGGACATACATACATGGGACAAACATGTAAAGACATAGTTCCCTGGACCATGGTCATTAATGCGTAGCAAGGGCTGCATCCTCAAATGGTGGCTCACTCACCATGTGTGACTGGAATTTTCAGGGAGAGATAAGATGGTAGCCAAGCCATGTGGGTGGGTGGGGAGGCTGGCTCCCGGACTGCCGGTTGGAGCCCCCACACGTACGCCTACGCACAAGCACACACTTGCACACCTGTGTAGCTTACCTGTCCACCTGGATTCCTGTGTCTTTCATCTCTGCTTTGGCTGGTCCCCCTCTGCTTACTGCTGTGCCCCCACTGTTGAGGATGCTCAGTATGGGTTCAATCTCTTTGAGCAGTTCATCCTGTTCCCCGCTGTCCTGGAGGTTGGCCTTGGCATTTTTCATTGTGGGGTCAATGGCCACACCATTAGCCTGGGAGACTGAGCCAGCTCCCTGTCCACGGCCTTGGGTATGCTGAGGTCCGTTACCGGGACCTGTGACCCTGTCTACTGCTAATGGCTGGTCTTTGCTGGCTGACGGCTGGTGAGACAGATCGACGGCTTTGGCGGGGGGACCCAGGGGCTGGGTCACCCGGATGGTCTTGGGGGTTCCATCCCCTGTGAAAGTGGTCTCTAGATGCGTGGTGAAGCCCTCAGGGCCTCTCAGAATGAGGACCACATGGGTCTCGGAGGCGATGCCCCTGAGAACCTCCAGGGCACTGTCATAGCTGAGGTCTACCAGGGGCCGGTCGTTGACGGCGAGAATGATATCTCCAGCTTGGATAAGGCCACTCTGCTCGGCGGCACCTCCTCGAATCAGGTCCGAGATGATCACGGGAGGCTTATTGACCCGTTCCTTCACCAGAAAGCCCAGACCTCCCACTTTGCGTTTGAAGAGACGGACAGAAATGACGTTGGGTTGGATCTGCTGAACCCCAAATGTGTGCTCTTCCATGGTATCGGTGTCCTTCAGAAGACCTCCAAGCGAAGATGACTCCTACAAGGAACCTGAGCTACTCCGGGGCAAGAGCCAGCTGCAGAGTTTCTGTCGCCTCTGTCTTTGACGTCAACTTGACGTCACCTGCTCATTGCCGTTCAGCCTTGGGTGGCATGATCTCATGTGTCCCCGCCCCCTTCCTTATTCTCTGAGGAAGTCAAGGTTGACCAGGCAGATGTCAGGAGCAGCGACGGGATGTGTCCCTAAGCAACAGGTCAGGAAGACCGGAGGCTCGCTGTGTCTGCTGACTGTGACACACAAACATGGGAACTAGTCTCTGGGCATCTTGGTCACCAGCTTTTCAGATGCAGAGGTGATGTTGGGGCTCCAACCTGGAGCTGAGCAGAAGGGAGATGAAAATGGATGAGAAGAGAAAGAGAGGAGTAGGCACCAAATACCTCAGAGCTAGGATGGAAAACCCTGAGTCACAGATACCTGGGAACCTTGAAGCCAAGCCTGAAGCATGGCTGGTCTACTTTTTCAGTTAGAGGTGGTCACCTGGCTTTATCCCCGAGACCAAAGCTCTCAAAGGCCAAAGAGCCTCCTTGGGGGACACCACAGCTAACACAGCCAGGCAACCCCAGAGACTCAAAGGTAAGAAGCCTCAGCCTCTTAACTTTCCCACTGAGGGAGCCACTGCTCCAACTGTTATTGTCCCTGGTGTCCCAGGTTTTGCAAACATTTTTCCATTCACAGTTCAGAATCTCCTCTGGCACCGACCTCTGGGCTCCCCACCCTGGAACCTCCCTCATCAACCTCTGCACGGAGAATAAAAATACTACTGGGCAGATTTGGATGCTGTATTTCACGGTATCATGGATGGAAGAGTCCAACTAACCCTGACAGCCATTTCTTCACCATTAGCTCATTTTCATTTCAAAAAATAGACACATCGCCCATCACCATGTTACGTACGAACGCTTTCAACACCCAAGAGCTAGGACCACGCAAAGCTCGAATACATTTGCCCTCCACATAACACATGAAACACCCCAGTGAGGGAATGTGAGGGAGACAGGCCACAGCTCTCTGGGCTTAACAATGGCATATAACATGTTCAATCAATATTCACTAGTGGGAAAGGAAAAAAAAAGCAAAGTGAAGACTAACGCGGCAGTTTCTGAATACTTTCATTCTCCACAGTTACTTCCCCTCGTTTGATGTGCACGGAAACCCAGCCCTACACCTGAAGCCCGACTTGAAAGAGGGCTCAGTGCCTTGTCCAAGGTCATGCGGAGTGGATAGAGGAGGGATAGGCCAGCTTCGATTTCAAGTCTGAACTTTGAAAGTTACCTGCGGATTACGCTCCATGTATATGTTTATATGTCCACCTTTACTTCTTTAAAACGTGGTCAGTTTTCAAACTATCAGTTGTCCCAAATGTAGGGATTTGGGTTTGGGGTGCCAAAAGCCAACACGGACCAAGCTGTGGGTTGGTGGTAACAGTTTAGACCAGGTAAGTTTGGGGAATTGTGTGTCAGGGAGGCTGTGGGCTGTGACAGGTGACCCTCTGTGGTGAGTGGTTGGGGGATGGGTATGGGGCGGTGGGGTGGGGGATGGGCATGGGGCTGTGGGGGGATGGGAGATGGATGGGGTGGGTAGGGGATGGGTGGGGGTGGATGAGGGATGGGTGGGGGGTGGGTGGGAGGTCTGCAAGCCAATCTTTTCATCCATTTCTCTCCTCCCCTCCAAAGCCCCAGTTCTCCCTGTATCCCTAGACTGCTTCTTACAGTATCCCCACCATGCCTTCGCACAAGGAGGGACACCCACCCATCTGCCCTCATGACTAACAAGCTGAAGCGCCTTGCTTTTCCCATTTCTGCAACTTCCCAGGGCCACCCCGAAGGCTGAGTCAGGTGACACAAGTGCTCACTGCCTCTGAGAACAGGGGTTGACTGCAAAGGCCCCACCTGCTTTCAGAGGAGGCTCCCTCTCCCCTCAACACCAGGGTCCCTTGAAGGAGGCTGGTTAGTGTTTTTGCAGCTTGTATTATGTAACCCCACCAGCCGCTCTGTGTGGGTTGGGGAGTAACGAATCCCTGGCCCAGCCCAGGCTGTCTCCATCTGGTGCTGCTCTGTGTGTGTGTTTCTGTGTATTCAAGCATCGCCCTCATGCTGTGGCATTTCTCTGCTGTGTGTGGCCCGCGTGTCAGCAGCCTGAGTGTTTTTTAGCATCTTGCTGCCCGGGTTCCGGTTTGCAGAGAAAAGCACCCAAGACCACCAAGCCCTTCCTTGTCTAGGAAGATGGCTTCACTCTCGTTTCCTTAGCTTTTCATAAGCTCTTGGTCTTCCAGGAACCAAGCCACAGCCATAGGTGGAGACAGCTGGGGCTCTAAAGCTTTGACCAGGGTCCGCATTTGCTTCTGGGCTCCATCCTTTAATGGAGGAAGGGTCTGGAAGGGGCGGCAAGGACTCTACGCTCATTTGTTACAAATGCTGGCTTAGGTTAGACCTTAGTAAAGGAGAGAGCATAGCCTTGACCTTTGTGGGCCTTGCTTAAAAGAGAAATGTTAGTATCAGGCTCCAAATCCAGTGACATCACATCTAGGCGACCCTCACATCGTTGCCAAGGCAATCACCATACATTCCCAGAATCCACCTGGCTACCTCCCACCTTCACCTGGGAGAGGCTACGTCACTGTCCATATAAAACAGACAGAACCCTCTGACCTCTCTCTCTTCTTCCATCTTCTTCCTCTTCTTCTCCCCCCCCTCCCCACAATCTTTGCCCTATCTCCTGAATAAACCCCACTTGGAACCGTTTGGTCTGGTGTAGTCTGTTCTAAGCCGCGGGCAGACGTATTTCAAGAACAACCAGAAACAAAATGTTACAACAGTGTGTTACAATGTCATCCGTCTTCAGCCATGCTCGGCTTGGCCTCTGTCTCCGCTGACTTCTGGAAATAAGTGAGCCTCTTGGATGAAGCTTGAGAAGCTAGGATCTATCCTCTTCTTCCTCCCTCCCTCTCCCCATCCTTCCCTCCTTCCTCCCTCTTCCCTCCCTCCCTCCTTCCCTTCCTCTTTCCCTCCTCCCTCCCTCCCTCCTCCCTTTCCTTCCTTCCTTCATGTGGTACTGGGAACGGAACCCAGGGCTTCGTGTATACTAGATGACATCCCCAACCTTCTGAATTTTTATTTTGAGACAGGGTCTGGTGAAGTCTCCCAGACTGAGCTTTAACTCACTCTGCAGTTCAGGGAGGCCTTGAACTTGCTCTCCTCCTGCCTCAGCCTCTTGAGGAGCTGTGATTACTGCCTGAGCCGCTCCTCCCAGCATCTGTCACAGTCTTAACCCTATAGCGCTCTGGGTCTCCTTTTATCCATCAAAAAAGCCACTCGCATCTTCTGTCATGATCTGGTCTTATCCTGATCAGGGCCAAAGTCAAGGGTCAAGTTGCAGGTAGATGTTCATAGAGATACTTATTTGTCCCACTTTGCAAACATCCAGTCCCCTGGGTCTCGAAGAAACTGGCTAAAGTGCTTCCTGGCTCTGTCTGTGTTTCGGAGCGGGCTCCTTATTTCCCCTGAGCCTCAGTTCCCTCATCTGTAAAATGGATTCCTAGTAGCAGCCACCCCACCGATCGATTAACCCGGAGAATTCAATGGCACAGAACACAATGGGGCAGTGATGCCCCAGAGCGGCTTGTGGCTCAGAAAATCTGGTCTCTGGTTATTATTATGTTACGTGATGATTTGGGCCCCCTAGGTTTTAATCAGTATGTGGGTTTTTTTTTCCTGCTCTATCAGTGTCTTTTTGTGTCAATCTCTAAGGGGATCCTAGGACAGTCCCCTGCAGATGATACTAAGGACTGTGGTCACTGTGAAAACACCATCTGCAGGGAGATAGAAGCTAGGCTGAATGGTCTGTCAGGTTGTCTCTATACTCTGGAACTGATATTTCTAACAAATCTCAACACATACGCACACACACACATACACACACACATGCACACATACACAGAGTACATACCATGGAAACCACACTTGGACGTGACTCTCTGTTGAGCATTTTGCTTGTTCTCCGAGTTTCTTTCCTTTACCTTGCTCTGAGGAAATAAGTGGCTGACCGTCGGAGGCGGCAGCCAGAGAGAAACAGGCAGCCAAAGCAGGGCGTGTCGGACGCCACCTCCTTGTTGCGTGACCTTGGGCGGGCAGCTCTGTGCCCTGGGCCTCATTTCCACAATGGGAGGAATGGGGAGAGTGGGAGCTCTTGGCTAGGAAAGGTGCCACGCCCTCTGCATGGGATTTGAAGCTTTCGGCTTCCAGAGGAATAAAGGCTCACTCAGGCTCTTGAGTGTCCTGTGTGTGTTATTTTTCTGGTTTCGGTGGTGATGCCTTGTTTTTGGGAAGGTTAAGCTTTACTCTCTGTTCGGGTAAGTTATCACTAGACTCTTATGAGGATGAGAGGGAAGGGAGACTCCGAGGAAGTTTAACAGTCAGGGTTAGACCCAGTCTGAATGCCCTGTCTCAGACACAATGGCACCCCGTCTCTTCTCCACTGCAGTCTCCCATTTCAGCCCAGTGCTGATCAAGATCATGGCCAGGGGAATATACACTGCTCTCAGGGAGGCATCGTTTGTCTGGCTTGTTGGGATTTTCCATTTCTAGACTGGCGGGAAGAAGAACCATTGAGAGTCCCTATGTAGCTCGTCCACTGAAACACAGGGTCTGGTGAATCCAGTGGACAGCGGGGAGCACATTCAGTGTTGTGAACTCAGATTGAAATGTAGGTATCTGAAGTTCCCAGGAAGAAGAGGGGAGTGAGGAGGGAGGGAGGGAGAGAGAAAGAGAAGGAGGAAGGGAGAGAGAGAGAAAGAGAGGGAGGGAGGGAGGGAGAGAGAAAGAGAGGGAGGGAGAGAGAGAGAGAGAGAGAGAGAGAGAGAGAGAGAGAGAGAGAGACCTTCTCTGTGTTAAAGGTCTACAGGCTGAAGAACTGAGGATCTGAAGAGTTGGAATGTTACACATCAGAGTCAAAGCATCTCTTCAGTGCCTTTGACAGTTGCCTGTCCCCCACCCCCATGTTGGACCCAGTGTCCCTGTGACTATCAAAACTTTTAAAAAGTATTC